CTCCTCACCAGGGTGAGCCCTCTAGCACTTCACTAGCTAGATCCCCCAATGTAGCAGGCAGCAAGGGAAGGGGTTGGTTCTCCTGCTCTCAAACCCTTGTGCTGGCTCACCCACACCTACACCACCAGGGCCAGCTTTACTCTGTTGCCTAGGCAAGGTGCGGGGTCTACTCTCCACAGTACTGCAGCTGGTGATGGGCAGGATCAACACTTGTGCCTCCCACAGGTAGTGAGGAGTGATGGGGGAGTGCCCCTTTCCCTTACCCTCACTACCAAATGGCAGATGAGGTGGACAGGACCATCTGTCCCACTCTCACCCCCTCAGGGCCCCTGCCAATAGATTCAGCCCTATTGTGCTGCCCAGGTAAGGTACAGGGCCTAGGTTCCTGAGTGTTGTAGCCACTGAGGTTCAGGGCCAATTCTGTGGAGCCCTATCCTCTTGGCCTTTGGTGGTAATAGGAGCCATGGACATCAACACAGACTGGGGACATGGCAGGGCCGTCATGACTTTTAAAGTCGAACTAAATGCATTTCTGCAATATGGTATGGTAGTAAGCTCATGGGGGCCAGAGAATGGAATGTGGTGATTTGAATAGGAATGGCACCATAGACTCAAGTATTTGAATGCTTGGCCCATAGGCACTAATAGGCCCATAAGTATTATTAGGAGATGTGGCCTTGTTGAAGGAAGTGTGTCACTGTGGAAGCCTGTGGCTCTGACATCTTGTATGCTCACTGTCTTGTGTGGCAGTTTCCTTCTGCTGCCTGTGAATCAAGGTGGCAAATCCTCAGATCCTTCTTCTGCGTCATGTCTACCTGCATGCTGACACGTTTCTCTCCATAATAACAATGGATTAAACCTCTGAAACTATAAGCCAGCCCTAATTAAACATTTTCCTTTATAAGAGTTGCTATGGTCATGGTATCTCTTCACAGCCATAAAACCTTAACTAAGAAACTGTGAAATGGTTTAATAACAAAATCAAATACCTCACTAGGTATAGTGGTTGTATGGCTCTCTGTGGATACAGAAATACATCAAGATCTTTATTTGGGTACATTTGGCTTTCTGCACAAGCTTTCTTACACCTCCATTTCTGTCAGTAAAATAATAATCTTCATTCCTAGGCTGTCATTTTCATCCAGTATAGGAAAATCATCAGTCCACATGAAAACCTGTCAGGAGAGATAGGCTCCCAACACTCTAGCCTTAAAACTAAGCCAGGGATAAGCATAGAACATTTCCATGGACAGCTTGGGTGCTTGTCCAAAAGACTGTGCACAGGTAGTTAGAGTAAGTAGTCTGTTCTGTTTAGACTAGGGATGCTTGTTTCCTTATCCCCTGTTACAGAAAGGCAACCCACCTTTAGATAGAGAACAAAGGCAACACTAAGAGAGATACAGAGACAAAACAAGGAGAGAGAATGAAAGGGGGGATATTGAAGAGCAGAAGACAAGGAGGAGCATTGTGTAATAAAAGTTTTCTTGGGGAGATATAATAATGAGGGAGGTCCTTCTGTGTAACTTTACCTTATTGGTTGTTGAATAAAGCACTGTTGGCCAATAGGGAAGCAAGATAGGTGGGACTAGGAGTTGAGAATTCTGGGAAATCTAGTAAAGAGAAGTCTTGTGATACAGGCAGGAAGTGACGTAACAGGCAGACTCAGAATATAAGCAGGGGCAAGCAGGAAATGGCTCTCTTCCTCCTCCTTCTCTGGAGTCACCATGTGATCCCAGGAAGAGGACACATTCTGCCAGCATTCTCAATAAGATAAGTCTTTATAAAATATATAGACTAATGATTATGGTTGATAATTAAGACTGAGCTAGCATATAAGAAATCCTAGTCATTGGCCAGAAGCATTGTAAATAATATTAATCTCTGTGTGTTATTTTGGGCACCCATGTGGCAGTGGGGCTCAGGTGGCTGGTGGTAACACACATATCTTCTCATGCTGGATAAGAAACAGACAAAAGTAAGGATACCACATGTAGTCCAATTTGGTGAAACAGTGAGTTTGGGGGGTAATATATAGAGAGGAATATGAGTAAAGAGTTATTTACAGGGGCAAAAATACCTCAAAGACAGGTAGATGCATCACCACAGTCCACTCCAGCATAGGTGACACTTCACAATATTGGGCACCAGGAGTACACTGTACTTCTGAAGGCAGGGTAATGGGCTGCAGAGTGTCCTTTCCAGGTGCCTCAGTAGGTCTGAGTTTCTTCCAGGCAGGCAGTCTAGTCTCAGAGATCTCTTAGCATCTTGGTTTGCCCAAGAGTCTTCATTGTAGCTTAATTCTACTACTCTAAGGACTCTCATCTTTCATTGCTTCACAATAGCAGTGAGTGGCCTGGTGAATTTAATCACTTTTAGGAACTTCCTGAAGCTCTTTTGAGTTTTTTACCTTCCTGTTTGAGGAGCTCCCCTGTAGTGTTACATTATTTATGATCTACTTACTAAAGCTTGCCTGAGGATTCAGAAAGCAAAGTCAGTCACAAGCCATAGAAGCCAGGCACCCACCTTTAATCCTAGCAGCCAGAAGCTAGGAGGTGGTGGTACACACCTTTAATCCTAGCAGCCAGAAGCTAGGAGGTGGTGGTACACACCTTTAATCCTAGGACTCAGGATTAAGAGGTAGTTGGATCTCTGTGAGTCCAAGGCCACCCAGATCTTCACAAGAGTGAATCAGTCTAAGAGAGTATTATAGCTCACACTTTTAATGCCAGCACTAGATGGGTATAAAAGACAGGAGCAAGTAGTCAGGAGGAGGCATTCAGTCTCCAGCCACACCAAGGAGAGACAGCAGTTTGAGACTTGATAAAGACCTCATGCATTGATCAGCCCTTTCAGCCTGAGCTAGAAGTGGGAGCTAGCAGCCAGATGCTCTTCTTCCCTGATCTTCAGTTTGAACCCCAATATATCTGTCTCTGGGTCATTTATTTTTCATATTACACTTCCCCGCAAGATGGCATGTTTTAATTGAGGAAATTGTTATACAAAAAGGAGTTAATCCACCTCTTTAGGTCCTGAATCCTGCCAAGCTTAGAAGTGTCGTGGCTTGTGCCAGTTTGTGTCAGCCTCATCATAATAAAGAAAATTTGACAAATCCAGAAAAAAATTGCATGAACCTATAGACAAATGTGCCTGAATGAATATACTAGAAAGCATAAAAGGTTTTATGATCTAAAGATAGGAATTCTCCATAGATGATTTCTTAGACTTGTTTTTCTCATTATCTTCTGTAGAAGACCTCTGGGTGGATTCTTATCCCACGGGGCTCCCTTAGCTAAACTAAAATCTGGACTCAACAATATATTTAAATAAAGGACAAGGCACACATTTATAGAAGATAGCTCCCAAGGTTCTGCAAGAGTACCATACTGCCCAGACTAGCAAACTTATGTGTCTTCCCCTTGGAGGTAACCTATAAAAAGAAAAATTAGAGAAAAAGAGACAGTTATCAACCATGCATACATATCACAGAAAATGCCCCTAATTTCTACCTTCTTTCTTCCTTAATCACTTCTTGATAAGTCAGGGAAGAGAAAGGACTGGGTGTAGTGAACCAGAAACCTAAGCAAAGGAAGAGAAGGGGGTTAGCTTTCAGGATAATTAAGTTCTGGGAGTCCTAAGGCATTTCCATGATTATGTCAAAATTAAAGTAAAAGTCACATGAAATCCCCTTCAGATCTGTGTCATAATCCCTTTTGGGTGCCTGACAAACCTTGAGAAGCCAGAGTGACAGTTACTGATTTACCTTTCTGTGCTGAAAATGGAAGTTGAAAGTTAAGTGGCAACATAAAACTAAGTACCTCAGAGACCTAACTTCAAGTCTGGACTAGACAGAAATGACAGAAAATCATTAGGAGCAGAAGGCATGAAAAGGTCAGAAATAAATTGTTATCAAGCCCTGTTGACTATTTTATCAGTCAGATTTCCCTCCTTTTTGCTCTCAAAAAATGCTGTAACATTTCCTTATCCCTGGAGATGAATAATGATGTTATCAGGGTTGTAGGAACATACAGTCAGATTGTGGAAGTGCTTTATGTAAAAGAAAATGCTGTTTGTGATAAAATATGGTTCTTAAATAGTAGGTTTTTTTAAAAAAAATACACAGTTGTCTTGTTCTGTCTGCTGTATTGTTGCTTTGTGTATAGATATGATGAAGTCTATCCCCAGCAAGGGAGAAAGCCAGCAATGGCTTTGTGTATTTAGGTTTCAATAAGGTTTTTTGGAAGGGTAGATATTTTATCTCTAAGACAGAGTCCTAGATTAAGCAAATCATACATCACTCCCTCTCCCATACCTTACCATGACATCCCTCCAACCCTCATGTCCTCACCCCTCCTTTGCCCTCTCTTTTCTCATCCACACCCCTCACCTTTCAACTTTTCAGGCAAAGATGGTCCTTTGCCTTCCTTGTTGCATAAGATCATTCATGAAAATCTCTCAAAAGCAAAATTGATCTTCAACTAAATGAGCATGTTAGTGAATCAAAATTTAGGTAATCTGTTTTAAATTGTGAAAGTAGAAAATGATGGGTTAAGGGGTTGAATATAGGCGAGGAAAGATCCTTCCTCATTTTAGCAATTGCTGTGTAATGTCCTAAAATGATTCACTAATCACTTCACAGCTGGTTTGTCAAAAAATACAGGTTATCAAAGCATACCTTGAATGTCACATTTCAGGAGATTCCCACCTGAAGAGAATGGGAAGCTACAGATTGAGCCTCTGGAGATACACGAGAGAATTCCAGGCTACACCCAGGCAACCTGTGGCTTAGCTCATTGTTCATTGATTGTATTACATTTAAAATTAAGTTACTTTGTATTTCCTCATCTTCGAAAGATAGTAGGTTTGCCAAGAGGAAAACTTGTATTAATAGTCAAAGGTCATTTCTGGGCCTTTAGGTTCATGATTGTAGAGGTCAGCAAAATGGTACATCTCTACACCTGCTGGATCAATGTCTATAAACTCCATTTACATACAGAGATTTGATCCTTTTGGCTCATAAACTGGATTATTTGGCATTCACACCATGGCATGAGATTTCCCTCTTTCAAACCATTTTGCAGAATCTAGACATTACACATCTGAAATAAATGAAAATTATAAATCTTAAGGCCAAAAAGCAGTTCCATCTACAAGTTAACCATTGTCATGAGACTTAACACTTAAGGTATGATACTACCTAGACAAAAATAAAGCAAAAAGGGGAAGGAAAGTAAAAGAAGAAGAAACCAAGAAACAGAAACAGTGAGTGGATGAGTAAAAGTAACATTCAAAGTAAACTTCAGTTGGCTTCATAGATCACAAACACAATATGATTCTCCAAAGATGAGTTGTTGGGTTTTATTATTGTTGCTGTTTTCTCAGTGAGAGTTAGTGATTCAAGCTCACCCCAGAAAACTGATGAAAACTGAAGTGACCCTAACTAATAATAATGTTAAGTTGTCGATGTTTTTAGTCAATAATTCAAAGTTCTCTGTAGGTAGAAAACGTATGAGTACTAACTACTTACACCCTGATTTTAGAAGTTAACATGTGTGTTCACCATACATTTGTCTGCCCAAAGCTAAGAGTGATTAATTAATGAACATATTCTTACAGGTCAGTTAGCCTACAGCTTGTGCCCAAGTGTTAATAGAATCCTGTAAATCTTCAGTTAATTCATTCTTCCTTTCTTCTGAAGCAATATTGGGAGTCATTTCTGGAAAGAACAATTGCTTTCCCCTGCCTATATTTATTTGTTTAATCATTTGTTCCTGTTTAGCCTGAGGATATGCTGTACTGCCTTCATGCCCTCACGTCACTAGGTGGAAAGAAATAGACATTCATTCTTTTATCAATAAAAACAGAAACTCTTTCTCTGTGTATTAGGAACCACCCCACTCCAGTAAATGGATAATTTTGGGGAGTTTAAGTTTAATTAGGACAAGAATAGTATTATGCCCAATGACCTTTAGTGCCATCAAAGGAAGAGAAGGTGGAAACTCAGAAGTGAAGGGGGCAAATCTCCATCCCCTGTGTAGAATTTTCAGGGATTGGAGGTGAAGAGGACACAGCTGCATTTCTTAACTTTTGAATGAATAGCAATTATGCCAAGAGCCTTCATTTTAGATTGTCAGCATGAGTCTATGTCATACCCATGCTGACACTCCCAAACTGGAGATTTTAAAGGCCTCCTGCCTTTGTCATTGAGACACCTGTCACCAACTACACTGAATCAGCATCTCTAGATGCTGGAAAATACATATGCAACATGATTTTGTGTAAGACACAACAGTAGGAAGGCTGGGATTCTTCACAATTCTTAAAGGAAAATTTCAGCCTGAAAGTGAAATTGAAGTTGTAAAGACACTTTCTGTCCTAGAAATTAAACCGGCTCCATGTTCACTTGTCTACAATTGAAATCACCAGGGTCAATATTAATTTCTGCAAATATTTTAAAACTAGATTGCTTCTAAAAATGATAGGAAAGAAATCTCAGGAGAGAAAGACAGACATCTTCATGGCACTATAGCCATTAAGGTGTATTGTACAGTTAGACATATTTCTCTAGACTTTTTTATTTTAGGATAGAATAATAATTATTCCTAAGTTTGAAAGGATCTATCCGCCACACACCTGTTCTTTTGGAAGCATAGTGCATAAATGGTTCAGACTTCCCAGAACCTAGAGGACGCGTTGATATATGCTAAGCCCCACTTTCAGATGCATTTATTATTCATCTCACCCTCTTCATCCTTGTCCTCCCACTTAGGATCGCATCTACCAGTCAATTGCAAAGCAGTGCTCATTTCCCGCTTACTCAACTATATCAAGACATTCAATTTATGATTTCTAAATTCAAAAGAGAGGCATCCCCCAGAACTCCAAGTGACATTTATAAGAACTTGGAATTTTATAGTTCAGTAGCTTAAATATCTTTCTAAAGAAAGGCTAATGATTTTCTTATACCTTATTAGTTATTTGATGACACACACAAATGCACTCAATATGAAAAATACTGATTTTATCTACCTTATAGGGTAGCATATTCAAAATGTGTCATGCAGTATTTGCCTGTACGTGAAGCTCTATATCAAATCTCCTGACATAGGATTTTATTATTAAAAAATAGACATATAAGAGTCCATATAGTTTCCACTACTGTAGCATGTCTTATATGGATAAATAATGAGTCTTCAAATTATAAAAAATAAGATTTTTAATTAAAAGGCAATCTAATACAACCATCCAAAGGGTATATATTTCCAAATATATTCTACTAATTTGTGACATCAAATTATATAATAAAACTCCACAATTAGTTTAGAACTTCAGACCAGATAAGCTCTACCAGAATGCAAAGGAAATAGAATACATCACTTTATACAACACAACCAGGAAGGAAAATTGAATATAAAAGAATTCTTAACAGCAAGTCCTAGCCAATCTGCCTTAAAATTAAAGCCAATAAATGTTACCATGTCAGTTTTCATTCATTTTCATCTTACTATATCAACAAGCTACATGTTAAAATATTAGATTACTGGTTGGTATTTGTTTTACTTTTTCAACAGAATCTATTAATTGAAGGCAATTGTTCTGGAGGAAGCAACATCCCAGCCCGAAGAGTCTGGAATGTTCTGGTGGAAAAAAGCCCTCCCCCATTTCTCTCTCCAAACCCTGCTGCATCTCAGAAAGCCTGACAAATGATGACCCTTCCCGCAGGATGCTCAAGACCACTCCCACAGGATATTTATACTTTCCCCCAGAAAACAGACTCATGGGGGTTTGGGGATGGTGCTGCTGCTGCTGGAAAGCCAACTGGGAGCATTGTGTCCATTAATAGTGGGCTTTTTCTAATGTGGTTTGATTTGGTCTGACTTAGATTATTGTGTCAGTGGAGAGGCTTACTGGGGTGCCTAAGCTTTTCAATAATAATGTAACTAATGTCCAGTTCACCACCTGTGAAATCATAGACTTCACATATTCTGTTATTTACAATTTAGTTCTAGGGGGCTTCGATCAGGCGTTTGATGCTAAAATTTCCCAACAAGGGGTCAAATTCTCCAATTGTAATGATGCCTCATCCTCATCTGCCACATCATAATAGGTGAGAAGTAGCCTGTAAGAGAACAGAGCCTCTTCTCGGGACCACTGCAAGTAACTTACAAAGGTTATCTTAAATTTCATTTAATGACAACACAAAACTACACTGGAAAAAAAATGTAATGATGCAATGATGTAAGAGGTAATGATTAAAACCTTGGCTCTGCCTTAATGTTAATGGATTCTGAGCCAAGAAATTATAATGCTATATATTGATACAAAAATCAACATAAACCTCCCCAAAGAGTCCTCTGAGGAAATCCTTCTAAGCTCATCATCCAGGTGACAAAATTGAAGATCAGGAAATTTCCAACACTGGCATGAGTAAAACAAGACAATTGAAAATCTACTTACTTATCACAAATCAATATCTTTTCTCAACTTTTCATTTTCTTCCTTTAGTGTTAAAATGACATTCTGAACTGTGATTGCACACCGAAGACATATTTTTTTTTGACTTTTAATGTATGGTAACAAAAATGCAGAGTCCCCCTTCCTGTGAGACGTTAATGCCCTAATCCCCCAAATTTGTGACTATATGACCATAAATGGGGGAAAGCTGGCTTTTCCAATGAAGACTAAGGTATGACAATGATCCTGTTATACATAATATACTATATAGAATATACCACTATGAAAAGACTCAAAATCACTGTGTCAGGTTTACTGTTGAGGTCTATGATTAGACTGCAGGAGTCAAAGATCTCCACTCCACTGGTTCTGATAATGAAGAAACCAGGCCCTAAGTCAAGGAATTGCAGAGAGCAGCATCAACAAACTGGAAAGTCCTAGGAAACTGGTTTTTCCCTAGAGTTTCCAGAAGCCTGCTTTGATCTCTTCTTTTGACCATGTGTAAGGTACTGAGGTAGGACTGCTAGCCTACAGAAGCATATGGTAATAAAGTAGACTTAAGTCATTATATTTTGGGCAGGTTTTACAGCGTTGGCAAATATTTACAGGATCTGCTTTCTGTGGTCTTGGCTTTAATGAAACTAACAGCTTATAACATTATAACTGGAAGCAATACTCCCACTGAGAACATAGGAGCTGAGTATCTAGTTTGGCTGGCTGTGTAGCATTTCTTTGACACTCCACTTTTATGCCATGGAGGCCACTTGTCCTGTCTGACAATACCATCCCCAGGATGTCCTATAAATTGGAATTAACAGAAAGCTTGTGCTCAGTGTATCTACTTAGATATAATTAGTGAGTGGGGGAAAAAATCAGTTGTACCAGTTTTAGCTGCTTTACCTTCTAGTTAGAACACCTTTCTGCTTTATTCCTTCAAAAAGGTCATTACAATTCTATTTTAAAATCTGAAAGATCACAAAACATTTAAAACATCTCTCTGAAAAAGTTTCAAAGTTCCCAGAAGCTAGGAAGGTCAATAAGGAATTATCATCTAATATTTGTTAAATACCCACTGCCTGAAAAATATCTCTCCGGACAAAGAAAGGAGACAAACACACTAAGGAAATTACAAGCAGTTCTTTTAAAGAAAATAACCCTCACCTGTAGGTCCTGAGAAGCAATAATTCCGATTGATCAGATGTAATGACTCTGCAACCTGATTACAACTGTGAGGCATGATGAAAAGCCACATAATCTCTGTGCCTGGTTAAATGCCATGGTCTATGATTAGACTATAGGAGTCAAAGATCTGACCTATTGTCTGATCATTCTGCAAAGAAGTGCATTGGGGTATATACTTCAGTAATAGTCTTGCAAATTCTGTGAAGTACTTACAGCTAATTTCTGGACTGTTCTGGATACTGATAATGAAAGTTTTATGCTTCATATCATAGGAAAGACAATAATTAGCAGATTATTGTAATTACCAATAATTATCAATTAGCTTTCTACAGTAGCCCCCTAATGCAAGTAGCAAAAGTGTGTGTGTGTTATCATGCATGTGTGGGTATGTGTATGTACATGCAAGTGCTTCTTTTACTCCTTCATAAGGCTTGGAAGAACACTGCATTATTAACGAGCCTTACAGAGG